GGGGGGAGCGCGGAGGGGCCGGTGCTGTGGAGATGGGGCCGTTTTCACGTGCGGGATGCATCGAACTTGCGATGTTCTGCCTGCTGCTGCCTTACGCGCTCCCTGACACGCTGGAACTGGTTGGAAGGCTTTTTTAAACTGTTGTTTTTCCAGAAAAACAACGGACGGCCATTAGGCAGAGAATCCCTCCTTGTCTGGGAACATGGGAGAAGAAGTGGAGAAGGTCTGGGGTTCCCGACTCCCCGAGTTCAGGGAAGGATGGGTTAGAAGTCGGAGAGAGAAGAGCAGGCGGGTCTTTAATCAGCTGTCCTCTGAGGCAGTCCCAGCGTCCTGATCTTCTTGCGCATGTTCCCAATTCCTCCCTTCCCAGCGCTTGATGGGATAAATTTAGTTTTATTGTGTTACTTGCTGGCTTGTATTCCATGGGAGGTGGCTATGGTAGTTGGTTTGGATAATATTTTGAATTAATAGCAGGGGTATGTAGCACGTGTCACCAATATTTTTTTATATTGCAGAGGCAAAATACCACTCCTTTTCCAAAATTTAAAATAACTCTCCGATCTGTTAGAACTTGGTGATCTGAAATTGCTTGCTTTATTGTTAAAAAAGCTTTTAGTGAGGCTTTCCTGAAAATTCTAGATTAATGAGATATTAGGATACTGACTTTAACTAAAGGGGAACAATAAAGAAAAGGACAAAAAAGGGGAGGGAGCAGATAAATAGGAGGGGAGAAAGTAAGAGAATCGCCAGCCTTTTAATTTGGTTTGTACGTGTATTAATACTCCACAAAATTTCTTTCATTCTCAGAATGCTTTAATTGGCACTCTGCCTTGAAGTGAACCAGAACATTGCTCACATGGAATGAGAACTGGAAAGATACCACAGTACCAACCCAGTGACTATAGACAAGAAAAATCTCTGGTGCTGCAGTATCTTCTGGTAGTCCAGTTAAGCACCATCTGATCCTTCCAGGATGCATTCTATGAAAACAGTGGCCTTTTGACCCCGTGCACTAGAGTCTGTGTGCTGGAAATTAGTGATTCTTTTATAAGAGAAGGGATTATGATGGGGGGGTCGGGGGGAGACCAACACCCTTAAAAGTAGAACAAAAACTTGGAGTTCTGAACGAGGGCTTTGTGAAGTAGTTGTGGCTCCTATCAGCATTTAACATCCGTGTGTGTGTGCACATGCATTGGATAAGAAAGATGAAAGAAAGAAGGGCCAGAAGTCAAATGAGGGCAAGAACCTTGGAAGAAAAGCTGGGAGAATGTAGAACTACAATTTTGAACTGAAAAATAGTGTAGCTAACCTAGGTGCTTGTAAGGTACAAAGACCATAGGAACTGAGCTCTTAACATTTGCTTTTTTTTTTTTTTTTTTGTAGTTGTTAAATGCACTGAAAGATTTTGAGTTTCCAAACAAATACTCAGACCTGAAGAACTGAAGATGAGAGAAGCATCTCCCTGAGATGCTCAGAAACAAAGGCACATATGTTTCCTTTATTAATACTTCAGGGGGTTGTTATTGGGGGGGGGAACAGATGTTAAGCAGCTCTGGTCAGGACATGCCCTGCCAGTAACACGGGGGTAGTAATGTTCATATTCTTAGAAGAAACCTGTACGTTTCAGCACAGTTGCGTACTTAAGTTCTCCTTGCACTAAGCAGGATGAGTACCGTAGTAATACATTATAATTATTGTAAAACTAAACTATCCAGGGTCTCACAGTGATTCTCTGACAGACAGCCTCTTTCTCTGAGGCAGAGACTCGGAAAAAGCCAGGCAGCCCATCCCCTCCACTTTGGCAGGCGAGGTGAACGCATACTTCTGTGTGCCTGCTTGCTGTGTGCACGGGTGCCATTATGTACCTGAGTTTGGTTTCATGGTTGGTAGGGCTTGTGAATGAGAGTTCAGATAGCTTCTCCAGAAGTTTGAAAGAGAAGGAGGTTCGGTGTCTGATTTTTTTTGGTGTGACTTGCTTCAGAAATCTTTCTTCCTTTGCGTGGTTTTACTAAATTTCATTTCTTCCCAGGCTCCATTTCCTTGAAAAAATGCTGTGGAATTTCCTTGCTACAGCAACCTCCCAGGCTATTCTGGCAGTAGCTTTTGGTGGTCGTTTCTCCACTTACATCAGGTAAATATCGAGGCAAGAGCTGACTATTGCTGTTTCTGGGATTGCCTCTCAATATGCTGCGTTCTCCTGCCAGCGGGTAGTTTGACGTACGACTTTAAGTGATGTTAAAAGCATTATGGTGTAGCGCTGTGCATCCTTCTGTGTCTGCCGCTTTGTGGGGAAGTGAGCACCTAGTGCACGCTCTCTCTCCCAGTACAGTAACTAGAGATACCACTTAGGATCTGCAAAAGCTCATTAAACAGTGAGGAACCTGCATATTCCAGTCATTGTGTAAGGAAACTACATATCTTTTTATGAAGACATCTTTGGGAACGCTGATGGCAGGCGGAGAGAGTGATAGGGCGAAAGATAGGGCTGTAGCACATGACACTGTGGAAATTTTGGAATAGACCCAAGCTGTTCCCAGTAGCTTAATCTGGAGCATCTTCTTCAGCTTTTTCAGTTCACAAGCGATACAGAATCTCTAGCTGAGGTGGTCTCATAGCTGCTTTTTACTCCCTACTGTTTCTCTTGCCTTTTTTTCATATACGCTGTGGGTTTATTATCGTTCTCTGTTATATCAATAATTATAGGGAAACCCCACTGACTGGTGAATTCAGTAGACTTACTCCAGGCTTACTCTGATGTCAAAGAGAATATTTACTGTAATTATTGCTGCTTGAAACTTGCTACATAGATTGGTGGGTTAAATGAAACTGAGTTTAAACCTACAAAATAATATTTTTTTTTTTTGCAAATTAATTCCATGCCTAACTAATTTTTTCAGCAGTGAGATAATTCCTGTTGCCTTGGTGCTCTGCAATTAATTGTCCCTTCTTTTAGTATCCTAGATATTAGAATAAATATCTCGCCTATATCTATTGACAAAGCAAATGAGTCTTTTCCTCTGTTTGTTTCTTCTTTTCATTATAGCCAACTCAAGAGATGGAAGAACGGCTGTTTTCACTGCATTGCAAAGAATTATGCTTTCCTCCTGCTTGACTGTCACAGACTCCACCACCAGGAGGCCCTCATTAAAGTGCTTATAGCTAAGCAAAGAAAACACAAGCGCGGTGAAATGAGATGGAGAATCCATCCCCGCAGGAGTAATCTGAAACTAAGACTTATCCTATAAATAGGGATTTTTGGAGTGCTGTGCAGGCATCTATTAATTGATTCTTGCAGGAATCCTAATATACAACCATCAGCTGTACTGTAACTTTTGAGGATACTGGGGTGTCATGGGTGGCAGCCCTGCATTGAATCATCAAGTGATGGCCAGGAAAGTTCATGCCTTTGTCTTCTGGATAATAAAGCTCTTAATAACGTAAGTAAAACAATAAAATGAAGTAATGCACAGTTTTGATTTCTAGTCACTCGTGTGTGCTCTCTCTCTTTCACCCAAGGAATATGCCTTCACCTAATTTCACCTCTGCTTTCTCTCTTATTTACTTATTCCCAGGTTCTTAATTTTCTGTCACTTTTCACAGCAGGCTTTTATTGTCTCCTAAAAGTTCTAAATATCTGCACTAACAGTCTGTCTCATTGTTCTC